TGGCTTATCTTTTATTTCCTGTTTAAGATTGGGTTTCCGGTTCTTTCTTAAGTCTTTTTTTTTCTTTTTCACTTCTAGTAGCTCCCTTGTATCTCAGTGGCATTATCGCCTTGCTTGCGGTGAATTTATTAAAAAAAAAATGTTATTTTTATAACTGTAGCAGTAGTTAGAATAAGAAGTACATTTTTCTTTAAGTTACCAGGATCGGCATACACCTGACGAAGACCCGGGGGCACAACAGCCGATATTATAACAACAACAAAGATGAGGACAATAGTACGCCTGTAAATTGCGTTTCTTCGCTTTTCTCTTACCTTCAACTTCTGTTGCTTTTCCTTCGTTTCTTTCTTTCTTCCCACTCTGTATTTTCTTTATATTCTTTCTTTTTCTTTTCTTTCTTCTTCTTTTTGTATTTCTTCTCTTTCTTTTTTTCCCCTCTCTATTTTCTTTCTAGTTTTCTTTTTCTTTTCTTTCTTCTTCCCCCTCTCTATTTTCTTTCTATTTTTATTTTTATTTTCTTTCTTCTTTTTGTACTTCTTTCTTTCTTTCTTTCTTTCTTTCTTTCTTTCTTTCTTTCTTTCTTTCTTTCTTTCTCCTCTCCATTTTCTTCCTATTTTTCTTCTTCTTTTCTTTCTTTTTTTCGTATTTCTTTTCGTTCTTTTCTTCACCCTCTCTATTTTCTTTCTATTTTTCTTTTTCTTTTCTTTTCTTTCTTCTTCTTTTTGTACTTCTTTCTTTTTCTTTCTTTCTTTCTTTCTTTCTTTCTTTCTCCTCTCCATTTTCTTCCTATTTTTCTTCTTCTTTTCTTTCTTTTTCGTATTTCTTTTCTTTCTTTTCTTCACCTCTATTTTCTTTCTATTTTCTTTTTTTTCTTTTCTTTTTTTCTTTTTTCTTCTTTTTACTTCTTTTCTTTTCTTTCTTTCTTTCTTTCTTTCTTTCTTTCTTTCTTTTTCCCTCCATTTTCTTCCTATTTTTCTTCTTCTTTTCTTTTTTTTTTTTCATGTATTTCTTTTCTTTCTTTTCTTCACCCTCTCTATTTTCTTTCTATTTTTCTTTTTCTTTTCTTTTCTTTCTTCTTCTTTTTGTACTTCTTTCTTTCTTTCTTTCTTTCTTTCTTTCTTTCTTTCGTTCTTTCTTTCTTTCTTTCTTTCTCCTCTCCATTTTCTTCCTATTTTTCTTCTTCTTTTCTTTCTTTTTTTCGTATTTCTTTTCGTTCTTTTCTTCGCCCTCTCTATTTTCTTTCTATTTTTCTTTTTCTTTTCTTTTCTTTCTTCTTCTTTTTGTACTTCTTTCTTTCTTTCTTTCTTTCTTTCTTTCTTTCTTTCTTTCTCCTCTCCATTTTCTTCCTATTTTTCTTCTTCTTTTCTTTCTTTTTTTCGTATTTCTTTTCTTTCTTTTCTTCGCCCTCTCTATTTTCTTTCTATTTTTCTTTTTCTTTTCTTTTCTTTTCTTTCTTCTTCTTTTTGTACTTCTTTCATTCTTTCTTTCTTTCTTTCTCTCTTTCTTTCTTTCTTTCTTTCTTTCTTTCTTTCTTTCTTTCTCCTCTCCATTTTCTTCCTATTTTTCTTCTTCTTTTCTTTCTTTTTTTCGTATTTCTTTTCTTTCTTTTTCTTCGCCCTCTCTATTTTCTTTCTATTTTTCTTTTTCTTTTCTTTTCTTTCTTCTTTTTTCTTTTTCTTTCTTTCTTTCTTTCTTTTCTTTCTTTCTTTCTTTCTTTCTTTCTTTCTTTCTCCTCTCATTTTTTTCTTCCATTTTTTTTTTTTTTCTTTTCTTCTTCTTTTTGTATTTTTATTATTTTTTTTTTTTTTTTTTTTTTGCTTGTGCCTGTAAAGTTTATTATGTTTCGGCTTCTTTCAGGGCCACCGCCATCGATTATCACGTCCCTTCCAAATTTCTCTCTCTTCCCTTCTTTCTCTTTCTTCTTCGCTTCCGCTTTCTTTTCTTTCTTTTTTTTTTTATCTCTGTTCTGTGGACGATCGCATATAAAATCCTTCAAACCCAATCAAAAAGAAGAAAAAAAAAATACACCCCGAAAATAAAAATAATAAAAACCAAAAAAAAAAAAAACATGAAGAAAAAAGCAAGACAAATCGTTGGCAATATGAAGTCCATCAAATCAACGACACGACTTCCGCTGCTGACGTCGGCCATTGACACCGGAAGTGTGCCACCGGAACAGGTTGCTATTTTAATGACATTGCCTCTATAATTTTCCCCATGTCGCTTCTCGACCGATTTCGCCTGAATTCCGAGGACTCCATCCTTGGCTCGTTTTTACACTACCTCCGTTCCAGCATGTCACATCTTGTCAATCTATTTCTGGATCATTCGGCTTTTATGTCTTAACGTTTTTAAGGCCAAAGACAGGGTTCTCTTTAAAACCTAATTAATTTTTATACCTCAACACAATGCCGATTTTTACGGGCATACGAACCGACATCTGTCCAAAGAATCTTTGAACTGCAAAAAATGCCGGAATATTGGCGCGACACGATCTTTATTTGTTTTGTAACAATAAAACGCAAGGCACCAAAGACGCTTCCCCATTCCGCAGATCAGTGATGAAAAATGACTTCCAACAAATGATGTCTATAGGTGTTAGCGAGGACCAAACTTCCTTAAACCTCGTGAACTGAATCCTAAACAAAGAACTGTACACAATGACATAAACTGTACCATTTGAAAACTTATAAACAGTAGCAACAACAACCAAAGTGGACATCACACGCAAATCTAAAATAAAATAATGATATTATCAATATATTGACTCGTCCTGTGTTAGACGTTAAACTACATCCGCGTCCAGGGTAAGACGATAAGCTACGTCCAGCAGCAAGGCCTCTCATCAGGGGGTTTTGAGGAGCGTGGAACCACCACTTAATTACTGGTGTTCCCAGGTCGACCTGACCTGGGGTGGTAGCACCTGTTAGGGTCCCATCTATGGGCAAATAGGTAACTATTAACAGCAATACAATTTTGACGGAAAAATATTACTAGAAACAGATTTTTGACAAATGTGGGAATCTTTGGGAAAAAAAGCTACCTGAGTAGAACTTCTTCTTCCTATTTGAAATACGGGGGAATTGAGTGTGATTTGATAACGTGGAAGTGGCACGTTGTGTCCTAACTCTAAAGGTCTGAGCAAATGGAACTAAAGAATGGAGCTCATCTGTACATTTACAATGGAAATAGCGACAGATATTTGCAAAAAAAAAAAAAAAAGAAAGAATTAAGCAATCTAGCGGCTCATTACAAAAGCATTTTAGAAAGAACAGAAAATATTACTGTACGAGGGTCGGCTGGAAAGTTCATAGACTGACCAAGATATAAATGTAAGTAGACATATTAAGACATTTTTACTTTTATACGTTTTTTATAATAAAATATTTGTCGGACTTTGTCCATTTCATAATGTGGGACGTCATTAGTTTACATTTGGGTACGCATCAAGCAGATATGAATATACGAGAGAAAATCATGGAGAATTTTAGTTTAAAAACTATAAAATCGACCTTGCTAACCGAAACACTCTTCTGTGGCTAATTCGGTAAAGCACGTCAGACTATATAATGGTTCCGTATAGGATACAGGTTCGATTCCTGCCGGAGGACGTATATTTTCTATGAAAATTTCTCGGACATTCAGGCCGGTAAATGTCGTTAATACTGTTTATTATAAACAGAGCATTCTCTTAAATGTTTGTATCTATAAAGAGAACGTGTAAACATAAAAAATGTCTTACAATAACTGTCTGACTTTGTCCATTTCATAATATATATATATTGTTTTTATATAGTACGCATGTAATGTGTTAAAAATTCCCTCTGGCGTGCACCGATAGCCTAGGGGTAAGAGTCTCTGACTGATGTTAAATCGGTCGAGTTTCGATCCCGGCTTGAAGCAATCGTATGTCTAGCTACAATGATAAACTGTGAACAACGAAACAGGCTATCTGTAGATGACGATATATATATATATATATATATATATATATATATATATCATTTAGTCTACAAACTGGTGTGTCTAATTGGCCAGCCTATGAACTTTCCAGCAGACTTTCGTATATAAAAATACAAGATACCAGTAGAATTGGATATAATCAAGAAATCAGAACAGTGAAAATAATCGACTTGATTAATAAAATATTGCAAGAAAAAGTACAATTTCTCTTGCCACACCAAATTTGTTGACTTTGTTTGTTTGATCTGATTGAGAAGTTGCGCAGACTGAGAACTTATGTGGATGGAACTGGTCAGGTGCGACGCAGTACCAACGTACCTGCAACTACATCCGGTCAGATTACAATGATAATAATGATATCATGTTTCTCCTGTAATGGTTTACAGGTAGTAAAAATCTGCCAAGATTTAACATCGACTGCAAAACGTTAAACTCCTCAACAAAAGTACTCCACAAATAAAATACCATGTGTAACAGCAAAATTGTCCAAATCGTGTAAAACCAAAATTGTCCATTTGTTAGATTAATCATTGAAGCGTTGTATCTTAGAAATGATTAAAGATATCTTACTGGAATTCTCCGAGGTTTTCATAGCACTATTGGACTCTACTTTGAGCAATAAGAATGTATAATTACTCTCTAAGATTAGGAGAAGAATCGTGATGAAATGATAATCCCTCTTCTTGTTGCGACCTCCTAATACAGTTTTCTTTCTACTGTTCCCTCTTTTAAAAAAAATTATTCACCGTTCTCTTGATGTTTCTTGAACGGAGTTTGAAGATGGGAGCCAGAGTATGAATGTTGTTACCATTACTGAAAGCATGAATGATCTTTTTCCTCTCACCGTTGCTCATTTGAGAAGACAGTGGTTCTGACACAAAACGATTTTAACCAACTCAAAAGGTTTTTCAGTGATTCTTACGACAAATTGTATCAAGATGGCTAAACGTTTTATCTGAAAAGAAATTCAAATACTTTAGTGCTATTTAGACGGTAAACATTTAGCGGTATGGATAATTAAATGGCTAAACGTCTTATATGAAAAACTGGAAAAAAGAACCTCAATTAGTTTAGTGTTTTTTTAGGCATTAAACATCTTGTGGGATGGACAAATATGCTGTTACATGATTTGGGCAATTTTGCTTTTACACCTGTTTTATACACACGCACGAACACACACACACACACACACACACACACACACACACACACACACACACACACACACATATATATATATATATATATGTGTGTGTGTGTGTGTGATAATCCTAAGGATTATCTTAGGTTTTGCTCTACTTAGTGTATTGAGCACTTTACGTAGTTGTCTTTTTACTCAATTTGGTTTTTTTTTCTTTGAACTTGGAGCTTAAACACTGGACAATTGTTTTCGCTTTGTTTTAATGTTCTTGGTTCTTTCATTTTTCTATTCCCCATTTTTCCTCGGGTACCGATTTGTTCTACTGCAAGCTGAGCTATCCAAGGTTTTTCCAAAAACTAGTACCACCATTTATATATATATATATATATATATATATATATATATATATATATATATATATCCCTCCCCAAATTTTTGTAGTCTAATAACATAGCCAATTCTCGCTCAAATGATCTCAGTTTTTAACAACGCTGACTGGGCGGACATATCTCAATGAGAATCGAGCGGGAAGATGGATCGGGTGTGTCAATTATAATGACAATGTGTCGATGAAATGGCCGCCACGTTCACCTGACTTAACACATTGTGATTTTTTATGGGGTTTATACGGAAAAATAGGCCTATATCCCTCCTTCTACCAACTTAGAAATCTACATCCCTATGAACATCTTCGAATTTTGAGGAATCTTTTATTGTTCAACGTGATGTCTATTTAATTTCCTTTCCCTGGGAATTACTCAGGGATTCACATTTGAAATTATATCAATTCTTTTGAAAGAAAGAAAGGAAAGAAGAAAGAACCACTGAGTCGCTGGAGGATGTTACGCAAGACATGCTACAGCGTGTTTGACAGGAGCTGGACTACAGACTTGACGTGTGTCGTGTCACAGGAGGTGCGCATATTGAACATTTGTGAAGCTTTGTGAAATAGGTTGTAAAATTTACCCCCGTTTGAACCTCTTGTTCGAATTTTGATAGATAAATCTTTTATGGTTCAACATGAAACTGATTTGACAAATTTAATTTCGTTTCCTAGGACATCTTAAATGATGTCTATTTTGAAGTGACACACACACACACACACACACACACACACACACACACATATATATATATATATATATATATATATATATATATATATTTAGGCAGCATATCTTCAATCAAGCATGTTTGGTTGAACATTCTAGACATGTCTATTTATGTTTATTTTAATCCTCTCAAAATTCACGGATCAATTTCTTAGTGCTGTTGCAAAGCTGATTAAGAAAGGCACCGCAGTTTTAGTTATTTCTTTTATTTTCCCAAGTACTTTCAATCTCACCCAAGATCATCTTCAGGCGTGAATTGCTAAGACAAAAATTAATGTAATTGATACTTGTGATGTTTTTATAAATGCGCATGGAAAGCGCTCCTTTATAGACAATTAAAAAAAAATAACTTTAAGAATATGTAAGGGAGGTAACTTAATTTATATTTTTTATTACTAATGCTTTTAACTGCTCAACCTGGAAGTTAAAAAAAATCTATTAGCCGTCGTCAAGTATGTTTGCGTATTAATATGTAAACCGTGATGGTAACTTTTTGTAGCAATATGACTATATTAATTCCCGATCACGGTCAGCACATTCTAGCCGTATTCATGATTATATTATTAAGAGTTGGTTTCCTGTTTTATTATTATTATGATGATCTCCATTAATCTTAATCGTTTTCTGAGGTTAGATGAGTGTAATACGTTGCTGTTTTCTACGAGTATGTAGCTGATAGAGATTTGTAGGTCTCCTTTTGTATTTCAATGGATCCTAATGAAGCTATGGTCTCAGAGATGCAAAGTGCGTCTCCTTGATAAGCATGTAGT